TCTCTCTCTCTCTCTCTCTCTCTCTCTCCTCTCTCTCTCTCTCTCTCTCTCTCTCTCTCTCTCTCTCTCTCTCTCTCTCTCTCTCTGCGTGCATGTGCGTGTGTGTGTGTGTCGCTTTTGCCAGCAAGGTGCATGTTCACGCCTTGATTCAAACGAACCGCTGCTCGTGTTTAGGGCTGCAAGCAAAGGCGACAACGAGGAGGACAAGGGTGTTCCAAGCATCAATTTGCACATTTATTCATCTGCAGACCAGACTGTGTTCTGTCTCACAGACAGGGTGAGGTGAATCGCAATGGGACAAGCAAACCAGGCATACACATGTATTTCGCTACCCTGAACATTCATTGTCATCAGCACCCCGTCATCACTGTGATCACCACCATCACCCACCACTGCGATTTTCACCATGATCGCCGCCTTTCCAACAACAACAACAACAACAACAACAACAACAACAACAACAACAACAACGACAACTAACGTCGCGTGCCCCTTGTGACAGGGCGGTGGGATTCCTGCACACGTTGAGCCACACATCTTCGATTACGCATTCACGACCATTGGCGCCCAAGAAGCACGTGCGTTCCTCTTGCATGAGCGCTGCTCCGAGCGAACACCGTGGCTGTTGTACATGCTGGTGGAGAGGAGGAGCCCCTAATTGTTGTTTTACCCTCGTGCACTCACTTGCACCTGTTCACATGTCTACGTGCACCTGCACTTTTGGTTGTTTGCTTGTTTGTTGCAGCTGGCACGGCCGATGGCTTTGGACACCTTCTTCGTACGTAACACCTTGCGTTAACAGCTGCGCTTCTTGCCACCACCCTGTGCCCTGACTTCTTGCAGCACTCTTGTTGTCCACACTCACACACCTGCTCACGCACGCACGCACACACACTCGCTCACGCACACACACTCACTCACGCACACACCCACACACATTTCGACACGCGCAAACGCATGCCATTGTGCAGACGGCACGCCAATGGCTGGCGAAGGGTTTGGGCTGCCGATGGCGCGCATCTACGCGCGGTACTTTGGCGGAGATCTCACCGTCCAGAACATCCTCAACTTTGGCGTGGAGGTGAGAAGAGCAGGCGATGCCTCGCATGTAATCGTCAACATGATACATGCGTGTTTTAGGGGTGGGTGGAGATGGTTGTGGTCGTTTCACCATGCTCTTTCACGACAGCGCAACTGCTCTCACCCCCACATCACAGCCCAGCCTCAACAGCAACTACAACAACTGCCCCACATTGTGCGCACGCTGTGCTTCTCACCATCCCACCATCCCCCCCCCCCGCGTACGCACGCTCGTGCGCTGCGTTGCTCAGACGTTTCTGAAGCTGAAACACCTGGACCGGGCCGCGTATCTTAAGCGCATCGAGGAGAACTTGGACAGTGACAGCGTCAACCGCACAGCGCCCGATTCCAATGGCGCTCATCATCGTCATCATCATCATCATCGTCGTCGTCGCAGCGGCGGTGAAGCGGGGAAGAGCGAGCTGCACTCGCAACAGCTGCCGTCGCCTCCTGTCCCGACGGATACGAAGAGCACACGCGCGGTGAGCTGGCGGCGTGGTTGTGATGTGTGTCTCTGTTCGTGACTGGTTGATTGGCTGCGGTGCCTGTTCGTGCGATTGTCGAGGAGTGGGGATTGTGCATCATTTCTTGGCACTACCACACTCACCACACACACACACACACACACCTGCTTTGACACCACATTTCAATACCACAGCCGCCACCGGAAGCGTGAGGGCCTCAGGCAACAGCTGCTCGTGAATTGTGACGCTGGTTGTGTTATTCGCCCCAGTCTGCGTGTGCGTGTGCGTGTGTGTGTGTGCGTGTGCGTGTGTGTGTGTGTGTGTGTGTGTGTGTGTGTGTGTGTGTTGTTGTTGTTGTTGTTGTTGTTGTTGTTGTTGTTGTTGTTGTTGTTGTTG